TTGCAAATATATTTTTAAAGAGTGAAATTCTACAAACATAGATCTGTTTAATAAGACAGCTGCGTAGCAGACATGCGTCTCTTTGCACCATGCCTATGATTCATATTACCGCTCAGAGAGCGCAGCACTCTTTTCATCTACACAAGGCGTGGAATTTTATACTGGACGTGCTATCATTTCAAGGTGTAATAGAAATTCTTAGAGTATGCACAATTATTGTTTATTCCTCACTTAGAAAACAGTATTGAAACTATCGTAATGATCTATTTAAATTATTGTTTTGTGGTCCAGAATTTTTGAGGGTGATAAAAAAAAATGAAATACATCCCCTCCCATGATGAAATAAAATTAATACTATTTGTAGATGTAAGTGTGTTTTTTCTTTCTTTATCTTTCTCTAATTATCTTCTAATTGCATTTTTATTACGGTAGACAACTTGGGAAACTTCTCGTTTTCAGGGAATGGTTTAGTTTCTTCAATTTCCGGAATGGCTCACATATTCTTACCACTCACATACCCCTCTATGGCACAGAAATGGGACGTTAGGAAAGAGTATTTTGACCCATTTCTTTGAGGGTCGATCAAACATCCGGTGTTCTTCGAAAAAATTGAAGAGCAATGGGTTCTGATGCCACGTTTTACTCAAACAAATTTAAAAAAAAATTAATTGAATAGTATAAATAAACAAATATAGAAAACTCGCTAATCTGACTGTCAGTAATCCATTCCACTTCTGTCCTCTATTCGCTCAAGCAGAAATGACGCGCACAGCCATGAATTATCTGTGCAACAATGTGTTGTAGTTAAAAATGTTAAACAATGGCACACATATTTCTAACAGTAGAGTTCAGTACTTAGACGTGTGAAAGGAAACACGTTACGTTAGATCTGAAGTGCAAATTTAAAATTTTAAAGAAGTTAAATCGATGTTTATCCCAGAAAGTCATTGCTGGAGAGTACAATGTTTAACCAGCAACTATTGATGACATAAAAAGGAAAGAGATTATTCGTCAGGACGTATCCCAAGTGGAGGGCGAGTTGAGGAATCGGAAGGTTATGGGAAAAAGTGACAATGAAGAACTGGACGTGGCAGTTTATAGAAGGTACATACAACAACGCATTAAAAGGAATCAAAGTCATTGTGGTCCGATAAAGAAGGAAAGCAGTGGTGCTACAACAGAACATACTTTCTCTCACTGTTTGTAACTTATGCAATTCTCGAAAATTCAAAGACTTCGATGAAAATGAGAAATACACCATTCTTTTAAGCGTCCCTTGTTCTAGCCGTGAAAAAGTTGATTTTTGGGGGAGTTGTAATTTGCATTAACTTCAAGCAGAAATTTCTCGAAAGCCATTCGTTTTTTTCAAATAATTGTGCATGGTCTTTTTTAAAGATCAGATTTTGAAGAACAGATTTTCTGAACTGAAGAAATCTGTGTAATCAATATTGTTCGTTTGCAATGTTACGTTTTGCAATTTTTGAATGTTGAGTGTGTTCGCCAGAAATAAGACCAAGATATGTTTTTTACTGCCCTTTGTTACATACAATAAGAGAATTTTAAGAAAAAGTGTACCCGTTTTTGAAAAAATATGTGTTTAAAAATTGTCTGTTTCACGCAAAATTACGCGCAAACGCGTGATTATATCAAACAATTGTACGTGAAATTTCAAGATCTGTCTTTGAAGAACATTTCATCAAAGGAAAAAGAGTATCCTCATCATTGTTGTAGGAAGACATCGAAGAAATTTTGGATTTTTGCAATTTTTGAGATATCAACGTTGACGAGACCAATGCCTTTCTTTTAAGCGAACTTTACGCTACCCGAGGACAAAAGTTTAATAAAAGGATTGGAGCCATTTTTGGCGAAATTTTGAAACTGTTATTATGGTTCCATGTAAATTACCCCCCAAAGTTAAAATATCAGTTTGAAACTCGCATAGACTCGAGTTCGTTCAGATCGATCTGGGAATATAATTTTGGAGAAAATCGGTTTAACGCTAGCGGTGAACACGGGCAGTTTTCCCCTCCTCCTATTTTCCTGTATCAAGGGCATGCAAGACAAGGATTCTGACTAAACAGCGTGTTAAATTAAGTAATATATGAACAAGATTTATCAACTTTTTTGTTACCAGGTAACGACAATAAAAGATTTTCTTTGGAAAATTCGCCGTTTTTCAGACCACGATTATTTTGTCTTGTTACGAAGTAGAACAAGATAGTGAAACATGGCGTGCGACAGCTGACAGGTACTGGCTAAAGTCGCTCTGCTAACGAAAAATCTGGAGAAATAGTTAGTAAAGAAGACATAGAAGGTAATAAAGGAAGAAGATTTAATTCCAGATGCTTTGTACTATACTATTGAAACCACACTCTTACCGGATGCTTTCTTCATAAGCATTAGCGAACTTAAGACAAAAACGAGAAGGATGCTCGTGGATACAAACAAAAGAAACCGGGTGTAATGTTAAAGGTGCGTTGTAACGAGGAGTTTAAACTGCCGCACTAAATTTCAGTGAAGGAAATATCGTGTTTTTGTTTTGCTGATAGACACGACGGATTTTAGTTGGCATTGCTCACTCAGCTCTTCAGTCAAAATCTTTTATCATGGGGGTCTTATTAGTAGCTGTAAATAGAATTAGAGATTAAACATGGTTACAGAGTGAAGATTTGGAAGACATTTTCCGAGGCCATAAATTGATTGAAAATATTTTCGCAGTAATTCGTGTCATTTATAGGGTCAATGAAGTCTCTATTCATAATCCGAAAAAAAAAAAATAATACAGCTCTTGATCCCAATAAATTTTTCTAAACATTCCCAATACTATTTGTCATCACCACCGTAGAGCAACTGGACATACACAAAGAGACCCGGATACGAGTGCTGGTCGGGATGACTTCTTTGGACAAAAAATTCCTCAATATTATTAATGTCTTGAACCATACAGCTCCAGTTTATCAATGATTTGTAAATAATAGCAAAAAGTTTCACTTCCTCTTAAGTAGAGTGCGTGAGATGCTGCAAAAGAACGATCTTGAGATTTTGAAGGAGTGGGGTGGTTGAAACCGAAAGTGTTTGGTGCTACAGTGGCTACGCTACAGCATGATGAATAACCATATGAAAGTTTAAGACCCAAGGAAAATCTTTTCTGCTGCACAACTGTTTCTGTACAATTAGAGGCTACATCGAGCATCCAAAAGGAAAGTAATATTAATTTAACGATGACATTTAATGTATTATTTATCATTTGGGCTGAGTAATTCTAAAGAACCTGTAAAAAGAAGTGTGCTTCAGCGTCTGCGTTAATGATCCCCATCTCGATCAGGTTTTCGTCCAGTTTCCCTGGTCTTTGAGCAAATGCTGAGATGACCCCTTGTTTTGCTTCTGGACGTACATGTAACTTCAAATTAACTTCTCTCCATAGCACGTCACACACATCTTTTAACTGTTTTGACGCAAATAAATAAATAAGTAAACTAACTGAGTGAGTAATCGTTTTTTTAAAAGGATATTTAAAACTGGTTTAGCTGTAATTAATTAGTAAATTAATTGCTATTCATTCTGGCATTTGTTTTGATTAGATTCTGCTGTGACTAGACTGGACCTTTTTTGACTGGTCTTAATGAACTTTTGAATCAAATGTTCCAAACACAGCGAAACTAGATAACCTCAAAAAATGGCTCAAACTTTTCTTTAACATTTTTGTACAATTCATTGAATCATGTGACATTAGTGTCAGTGGAGAAGTTTTTCTAAATGTGTTGTACAGTATTATCTGTAGTAAGCGAACGGTGAAAAACAAATTAAGGAAATTTTCAATCATCGTTATCGAAATTTTAACGGAAATTTTGGAGCCTCCTTGCATCAATCCCCCCCCCCTCCCTTCTAAAACGTTCATTCGTTCGTGAGTAGCATTAGCACCTGAATTATTCGTAGGATTTTCTCTGAAGTAATTATTCTTTGACCTGACTATCTCTGGGAAACCCTGCGAGTTTGGAAATAATTCTTTGAATTTTTTGGTCGTTTATAAATTCTCTGAATTTTTCTTCTACAGATTTCTTGTAATAAGAGTAATATACGTCTATAAAGATAGTGTCGAAAATTGCAATTTGTGGAGCACTCCCTCGTACAACTACATTATTGATACTTTTCGTCTAATTGTTTCTCCACAATTTTTTCCTTAATGTCTTATATTTTTTAAATGTATGTGTTCGGTCAATGTGGACTAAAATATGGACATTCAAAACAATTTTGTACTCGCCTTGTCATAGATTATGGATAGTACTAAGTGCACCGAATAACATGTCATTTTGACATTTTTTTTGACATAGTTCGGCAACTCATTGGTCTTGCTGTGTGTGTGTGTGTTTTTTCCCTGAATGACTTGTTCAAATACAAACCTTGATACGTCGTGTAGAAATTTTCTAGTAGTAATTTTCATTAATTTTGCATTAACTGTACCAAATTTCTTTGAATGTTAACTTTATATGTAGCAAAGTGTGGAAAAAGTAGTCTCGTTTTCGGGGTACTGTTTTAGAATATTGCAAAAAATTGCAAGTAAAATTTTCTTGAAAAGGTTCCAAATTTAAAAAAAATCTAAGTTCCCCCTCTGCTAGACCGGACTTAATTTCGCTGAAATTTTTGAATTAAAAAAAAATTGCAATACTTCGTGTGCTGTTTGTACATTAGAGAGAGCGCTTTAAGCGATACAATTTAAATGTGTTTGCTAGGGTTTCATGAAGTATTTTTTTATTCACGTTAATTGTAGCATTTCAGCTATCTTTATTTGTAGATCAAATACAAGAAGTAATGGGTTGAATGGCACTGTTTCTTGTTTAGATTGATTATCAGAGGTATAAAATGTCACACCTGTATTTTCATTGAATAGTTTTCGTACGTTTTTAGGTATTTAAATTTTTCACTCTTTGAAATTGTTCCAATAAGAATTCTTGCTTAAGCAACAATGTCTGAAAAAGGTTCTTAGGAAAAAGACAGGTATATTTTTGATCATTATTTTATTAATGAAGTAAATTTTTGAAGATCTTGAATACAAATATTAATAAATAAACTACGAATTGTTACCTTCGTTATATACAAAATATTTCGAAAGATCAGTCTTTGAAGTACATGCATTACTAAATTCAGACGCATGGAGTGCTAAGCTTTTTGTAACCATTTCCATTTTATCACAGAAGTTTCAGTACACGTTCGAACGTGCAGATTGAGGAATAATTCTTACCTCCATTTTCATCTTACAAAATCTTTTGTACCCTACCCTGGTGTATTTGCATCCATGAAACATGGAAATGGCATTTTCCACAAATAACAGCATTGGGCTGTTTTGCTTTGCAGCACATTAGGCGGAATGGGTATTGTCAAATGTTTATCCTTCAAGATTCATTGTCTCTCACAAAAGTGTGCACCGGAATGTTGTTCGGGGAAAACTGTTCGTGATCCTCAGCTGTGGGTACGTTTTCTTTTCAAGCTGCAAGCGATCACGCGATCGTCGGAAAGTGATTTATGCTCAGCGGAATACTGTGGTGCGCGGATTGTGGGCGAGAGTACGAAGTGGATCGTACCACCACAACCGCCTCCATTTTACTTTTGAGTGGACGGGTTGCCACGGCCTCTCCGCATCCCGGCGCGGAGAGATGTGGCGAAAAAGCGCGAGAGAAGCTCCCTTGCAGGAGCGTGGGGTGGTGGTGCTGCTGCAGCGACGCACTCCCCGCTCCCTCCTCGAGCGGGCAATCGATTCTCGCGGCCTGGCCTCGTTAGTGTAAACGCGCGGCCGCGGAGCTCAGCCGCCGGTTCACGCCCGGGCGGCGCCTCCCAGCGCAGGGCCGGTGGAGGCTGGGCTCGCCCCCGCTTCCTCCTCCTGCGCCTCCGCCTCCTCGTCCTCCTCCTGGATGCTGGCGTCCTCGCGCCTGTCCTGGCGGGACTTGCTGCGGATGTAGGTGGCGAGCGGGCGCCGCTGCTTCTCCTGGCACAGCGGGCAGTTGTCGCAGGAGTCGCGCCCCGCGCGGCCACCCACGCGGTTGCCGCCGTTGCTGGGGCGGCGCTGCTGCTGCTGTTGCTGCACGGGCGCGCGCCGGCCTGCGTGACCAAGAGCAAAACCACATAAGACATTGCTACTCGCCTCATGCAAGCCAAACCTCAAACGGGCTGTACAAGAATTTCTTATGGGTTCC